GAGAGAGAGAGAGAGAGAGAGAGAGAGAGAGAGAGAGAGAGAGAGAGAGAGAGAGAGAGAGAGAGAGAGAGAGAGAGGAGGCGAGCGGCCTGGATGTCGCGTCACGATGCGCAAGACAGGGGCAGCTGAGCCGTAGCGTGACGGGACATGACGACAAGAAGATAAGCCAAGGCAGCTTGAAGCCGATAGGCCGTCGGAGGGCCCAACGAGAGAAAGAGGGCAGTGACAAGGGGTGGGGGGTAACGTAGCCCATGCCAACAAGACCGCAAGCGCAAATGCAGACCAGGCCGGGGTCGGAGCAAAGGAGCGAGACATGGCCTGGTTGTGGGGCGTGGCCGAGAGCGTTTCGCTGGGTTGGCCTAGCCGGGTCCGCTCAGAGGCGGCAGACCTGCCGGGCTAGGGACAGTGGTAGGTCGGTCAGACATGTCTCGGCCAGCCAAGAAGCAAGTCAGCGTTCATGGTGAGTCGATCTGGCGGTTCGTCGATCTGTGCCCAGCGACGAAGACCGTGGCCTTGCACATGACGACGACGACGACGACGACGACGTGCGCCTAGCTCGTGTACTGCGCAAGCAAGCAACCAACCAATTAACGAGACCTGGCAGACGTCAGGCTGGCGCTTGCTCGACCTTGCTTGTGCCTTGCCGCTTTCTTCATGGCCAGCCTCCCGGATCCAGGAAACCGACACCGAGGCCACGTGGAACCTTGGCCAGGGTCCCGAGTCGAGTACATATTATATTAGTCGGAAGCAGAATCGGAACGGCCTTCCATTTCTGCAATCTGCAGATTGCTTACCGATCGGCATGCTTTTGCAGCGGCAGGGGCCGGCGTACAGAAGATGTAGAATCTCAAGTCAGCAAGGGCGGGCCGACAGGCGGGCAGCCAGACGAGAAGAAAGTCTGCTTGGCTCTCTCGTCAGGCGGTGCTGCAACTGGCCGAGGTCGAGTTCGAGGTCGAGGCCCTGTGCCATCTTTTTGCGGAGGCGATTGAAGGCGGAAGGTTTGCAGCCAAAGGTACTCTTAGGTTGCACCGCCAGCACCGCAACTCCGCCCCTCCTGGTGGCTGCATGCAAACACAGACTTAGAGGCGGCGAGCGTCCAGACAGGCCTAACATTGGCTAGGCTTCTATGGCCCAGACCATCAGGTGATTCAAAGACAAAGACTGGTTGGCCAGACCTTTTTGCCTTTGGCCACCCGACGTCGACAGCCATCCGCTCTTCACGTGGATCGCCGCAGCTGCCACCGGCCGCCCATCGACCTTCCCCTGTCTCCGCAGTTGCTCAAGAGTACGGACGCAGTGGGTGGCTGCTCCATCCGCTCCGCAGACGCTTCTCTTTGCCGCCAACGTGTACCCGTACCACCGCTTTGACTGCACAAACAAGCATGTCTGCATGCCAACATGTACCAGGGCATCGGTGCGCTGCGTCTGCGTCCAAACAAACCCGCAGCCTCTCTTCAGGCCGCATGGTCGAAACGGCATGCCAAGCCTCGCAGAGTCCATCCTGCACATTGTTGCCACCACTGATGCCGCTCAGTCTTAGTCCGACAGGGGGCCCACCGGCTAGCTCTTGCGTTCAACGCCTCCTCACCATCGCGCGGCAAGCTCACCGGTCGCTTGACGTTCCTCTCCTTGGCTCGAGGGATGCGATTCGGGCTCTGCTCCGCCCATCGTACCATTTCCAGCTCTACGACAAGCCTCCCGACGGAGACAGGTCAACAATGGTCGCCCGACCGTCGAGGCTGTCGAGGCGCTTTTCCTCCCCTGGTGCGGTCAGTCGGTGTGTATGCACATACGTGCAACTATGGTCCGTGTTCGTCTGGCCGCTCCGGAACAGCCTGATGCTTCTCCGACCCACAATCTCAACGGCGTGCACTTAGCAAGCGCATCCCTACTCGGGCGCAGATGTTGGCCGCTCGACTAGTCCGCCCGTCGGTGTCCGACTGCAAGGTCCGACGCCTCTAGCCTAGTCGGACACGTCCCTCGCTCCAGCCTTGCTCCGCATCCGGAACTCTACGCGTATCAGCCCGCCGTAACTACGGCAACCTCTTCCTGCAGGGTCGCAATCAGGATCGTCAGGGTCTCGGTGCCATCCGTCCGCATGGCGAGTGTGCCACACTTTGCCTCTCGTCGGCCGATCGGTCTCGGGACGAGTCGCAAGATATCGTCCAACAACTCGAACTGGTCTTGCCAGCGCCTGGCCCACCTTGTCTCCTGATGGTCCTAGCAAGCACCGGATCTGCCACCTCAGCTTCCCATGGTCAGCTGCAATGTGCGTCAAGATGGGCCCTTCTGGAACGCCAAGCACCGCGTCCGAGGGACCTGCTCAGATCCGAGACTGCTGCAAGGCAAGCGCACATCTCGCTGGCAGGTGAAAATCGCCGGATCTCGTCCAAGGGCTTAGACCTTCGCGATACACTTCTCAATCGATTCGACTGACCCTTTACCGACTGTCCAGCGTGTCCTGGCGACGTGATTGTTTCTCCGAGCACTGACAGCTCGACATAACGGCTTGTCTGCTGCTAGAGCCACGGGAAATGGGCAGGATGCCACTGGTCGAGACCGCGACGACTATCCGGGATCGACGACCACAACGTCACGACGAGCGGACACCAGTCCACTTATGACGGGGTTAAGGCTGCCTCGACGCACCCACCCGTAGGTGCCGGCCTCTTGGCATGCCTTTCTCCCACACCCTGTGGCGATCGTCGGCACATGTTTCTCAGGAGCAAACTGTCACCCGCGCACGCTCCAAGCGGTCCGGAGCGAGCGAACACTGCTCGTACACTGGTCTAGTTACGCCAAAGGCTGAAGGCGGCGGCTACTTTGCTGGTGCGCGCTGAGCGGCAGGTGCTAGACTTGGCAGAGTCAAGCTCATCCGTCCCGCCGACCACGTCTCGATGCCCGCCGTGTTCCGGGTGCTGGTCTCCGAGTCCGCTCAGTCCGCTCCGATGCCCCCCCCCACGATCGGTGGCTCAGTCCCGTCGATCGCCCGTCGCGTCCTCTCCCATCCCCGGATGCTTTCAATCAGCACCGAAAGCAACGATCTGTCCAGACATGGTGCGACTCGACCTACCACTCGATAGCGACAGCGCCCTACTCTATTCCATCCGGCCTGCCTGGAAACACCCCTGTGTGACTTGCTTGTGAGGCTGCAGCTCCGCTGCAACTGCAAAACAAAAAAGAAGACTGATACAGGGGGCTCGTATGGTACAATGGACATTGCCTGCACTCCGCCGCCGCAGGTTGATGAGCTGCCGGGCCGTTTCAGGGTTCGACCTTGCCTGCAGCCGGGACGGCGCCCTCCTTGGCCTTCTCTCGCTTACGGTGTTCGGCCTCGTAGAACCGCTTGGCCCTTTCGCCAAGGCTGTCGCCGACCTTCTTCATCCGACCGTTGCGCGGGAAGTTGACCGGCTGCTGCGTCTCCTCGTCGGCGCTTCTGCCCCGTCCGGCGGCTCCGGCGCGACGAGCAGCTTCCTGGACAGGATCGCTGCCGGTGGATCCCGCATCGAATGCTCCTGCGTCCGCATCCTCGTCTTCGCCGCCTTTGGCCTGATCAGGCCGGTTCAGCGGGTCGTCCCTCAGTGCATCGAGAAGCTCTTGGTAGAGGTCCTGGAAGGCTTCTGCTGACTCCCCGGGAACCAGAGTCGTCTGCGATGTCGCGCCTCCATCTGCGGAGCCCGCCGCCTCGTCCGCATGCTGGCGACGCGCACTCCTTTTGTGCGCCTGGCTGAGCTTGTCCTCGATCGTCTTTGCGATCAGCCGTTGGGCCTCGGCGTCGTTGCCCACGGCATTCAAGACACCGGATCCGTCCAGGATATCCGTGAGATCGAGCTGGATGTCGTTGTCGGGCCGTCTCCGTCGGCTGCGCCTGGAACCGCTCTTGCTAGCCTCGTGATCGTCGCCCGGAACGGCATCCGCCCCGTGAGACTCGTCGCGGAGTGCTTCGTCGGCATCGACGTAGGAGCGTGCGCGCTCCTCGACAGCCTCCTCCTCGGTCAGCACGTCGACCAGCAGCTTGCCGTCTTCGTCCAGGGCAATCTGGAAAAACATTTCCTCGTCCGCATAGCCGCCGTCGAACTCGTCCAGATCGTAGCGGTCGCGGTAGGCCACCTCTGGCTCCTCTCCGTCCAGCAGCTCCTCTTCAAGGTAGCCTTCGCCGCCGAGAGCTTCGTCGTAGAAGTCATCGTGCACGGAGCTGTACTGGGAAAGGTCTCCATATGTGTGGCTGCCGGGATCGTCGATGTGGTCTACAGTGGTCTCCGATGGATGCAGAGGATCAGGGGCGCTAGTTGCAGCACTGCCGGATGACTGGGGAGCGCTTTGACTGCTCTCGGCCGCCGCCCCGCCACGTCTGTCCACACCCTCGCCCTGCAAAGTGCCGTGGGTGCTCCAGGCGCCATCTGACTGAGCTTCCCTGCCTGCATCTCGAGCATCTTCGAGAGCTGTGCCTGCCCAATCGTCGCGGACGATCTTGTGACACCTGACCGGATGCATGCTGTCATCTCTGGGCCCTCGAAAGGCGGGCTCGTTGCAGAGCCGTGATGTCTCGACGATGACAACGTAGTTGCAGATGGTGGTCTCTTTGACCGCGACGATCTGGTCACCGAGCCCTTTGCTGTTGCCGCAGTGGAACTGGATCTCGATCGAGCGCGGCTGGTTGTTGATGTTGCACAGGGTGCCATCGGACCACGTCTGCGTAATGTAGCGCTGGCGATTGAGGCTGGCGCCGGTCGACGCAGAGGCAGCAGGCGAGGAGGAAGCAGAGGCGAGGCGCGAATGGATCTGCATCTCTTCGGCATGCAGCTCCTCCTCGTCCCAGTCGCCAAATTGGACCACCTCGATGAGCTCGGTGCCGGTGCCAGTGGGGATGCCGATGGCGGTCGATATCGAGCCTTTGGACGTCTTGGACGCCGCTTGAGTGGACGTGGCGGTGCCTTGCGCCCTGCCTGACCTGCGATTGTCGGGATCGACGATACGATCGTTTTCGGGCTTCCACCGCCCGAGGGTGAAGGCATCGTAAGCAGGGTCGGCTACTGGGGTGCGAAGCTTGGCGACCTCTGCCGCTGCTTTGACGGCGGCCTTTTTACCTTCGGCACCGCCACCTGCGCCCTTGTGTGCGCGGTCGGCCGCCGAGGCGGGTGTGAGGGCTCTGAATTGGCGAACGTCTTTGCCGTGGCAGAAGCTGTAGGTGAACCAGTCAATGGTGTGGAAAAGGCAGATGCGTTTGAGGGGCTCGAGGAGGTGGAGGGCGCGTGCCACGAGGGCTTGGCGAGGGAGCGAGGATGTCACGTTGTCGAGCGCATCGAGGGCAGAAGAAGGGGCGGAGGGCTGTGGCGTGGTAAAGTCTGAGACGGCGCAAAGGTGCGCAGTGTCGACGCTGGATCGGTGGAGCAGCCACGTGAGGGGTGGCTGTGCCGTTGCGGCACGATCTTGTGGCGACGAGGGGTGCGCGGCATGTCCGCCAGTGACTGCTACGGCGAAGGCGTCCGTGTCGAGGGCGTGGGCTCGATCGTCAAGGTCTGCAGCGTGGCGCTGCTGCTGCTGCTGCTGCATGATGGTGATGGCCGTGCTGTTGCGGATGGGGAGGTTGTTGGAGTCATAGAGCGGGCCGAGCTGGAGTTGAAAAGCGGGGCGTGCAAAGACATCCTGGGGAAAGGAGGCCGATGCCGCGGCGATGCAGCATGGGCCGATGAGGAGCCAGGCAAAGAGGGGGGCAAGGGCAGCGAGCTGGCGCAAGAGGGCGCGGCTGGGCGACCAAGGCGGCATGGCAGATGATTGGGAGAAAGCGTCGGTGCGCGAGGGAGGGATGGTGGAGACTGTCGAGGGCAAGGCTGCGGCGAAGGCGTGGGGCGGGGGACTGCTGCGTGAAGCGGCGGCTACGCTGAGGCAGCAGGGATGAGCATGGTCCGCGTGTAGGGCTTGATGGACAGCAGCTAGGTGGTTGAGTGGTAGTGGGTAGGCAGACTGTGTAGGAGCCAAGGCGAGGTGGCGGCGAGGTGGGTCGCGGACGAGGCTGCCAGCAGTCAGGCGGCGTCAGGGCCAGCGGGGCATCAAGTGGGGGCAGGCAGCGAGGCAGCGAGGCAGCGAGGCAGCGAGGCAGCGAGGCAGCGAGGCAGCGACAGAGGGGTGGCGGGCGGCGGCAACCGACGTGGCTCAATCGTGCGAGAGGGCAAAGTGGAGGGAGGTGCTCTGGGGCCACCAGCCAACCCATCCTAGCCTGCCTCCAAGCGGGGCCACCAGGCCTAGCAGCGTTGGGCCGCGCTCAAGCTGGGGCAAAGGGCCTGGACCCGGCGCACGGCTGGCCTGCCCTCCTGTTGGGCACAGGCCCGCCCACCAACCAACCAACCAGCCCAGCGTCAGCCCAGAGGCCAGCCCAGGCCAGCCCAGCGCAGGCAGCGCGTCGTTGGGCCCATCGCGCCAACTCGTCCATCTCTCTACCCTTTGCCCGCTCTCCCTCGCCACACACTCATCTGGCCGCACTCGGATCGCACCCATCCCGGTGCAGACATACACGCAGATCCTACCACCCTTCGGTCGCCTGCTATTGCTACGCTGTCCAGCCACCCCACCCCCGCAAACACTCGACCCTCAACGCTGGCCTTCAGCCAACACACCACCCTACACTTCGTCCGCCATGGACCAGCACGACCCCGACCTCGATCCCTTTCAGATCCCAGACGAGGATCGACCCACCGCCTCGTCGTCCCCACCCCGATCGCCACGTCGTCCGGCTCAACCCATCCCTGCCAGTGCCAGTGACAACAACGCCTCACCCTCGCCCTCGTCCCCCTCGCCTCTTGCACACGACCCGCATGTGCCCGGCGACGACCTCTCCAGCCCTTTCGCTAGCGCTCTGAATCTCGACGATACCACGCCACAGGTCCGCACAGAGCTCCAAGACCACTCTCATAACCCGCAAAACGACCGAGAGGCATTCGTAGCCGCCAAACCTGCACAGCCCGCCTCGCCTTCGCACGACTCCGACCACTCCTCCACGCCCCATTCGGCCACAGGGACGGCAGAGCCTGCGCAGCGTCGCGGACAAGCGCCATCAGAGTCGCAGTCCAACATCGTCAAACCCACCGTTGCTCTGCCGCCTTCCACCATCGAGGTGTGTTGCCCTTGAATCGGGATCCCTTGTGGCCGGCGCCACCCCTGACACACACACACACAACACATTCTTCGCCTGGATGACGCATCCCCCCACAGATCGTCGATGCGCAAAAGACGAGCGACGGCGCATCGTCCTTCATCGCCTACGTCGTCCGCAACGGAGTGAGTGGATCCAGCTATGCCCTGCCCAACGTCGAGAACCCCGTGTGCCGGCCGCTGATCACCTGCTGCCCCCGTGTCTCCCGGTTCTCGTCCTTCCCAGGCAAGCGAGGCCAAGAGGAGATACTCTGAGTTCGAGGCGCTGCGAGAGGCGCTCGTCAAACTGCACCCGACCATCATCATACCACCCATCCCTTCCAAGCACACCCTGTCCGACTACGCCGCCAAGCAGAGCAAGGCGAAAGAGGACGCCACCATCATCGCCCGAAGGCGGAGGATGCTGCAGAGCTTCCTTCGACGCTGCGACAACCATCCTAAGCTTCGCGACGACGAAGTCCTTCGCAAGTTCCTCGATGGTCGCTACTCGTGGCCCGAAATCCTCAACTCGCCGCCTCTCTCCCACCTCCCAAAGTCGAACCTAAAGGCGCCAGCGCAGAACCCGGCCGACCCTCACGCCTCGCCTGCGTACGCCTCCCTACCGCTACCCGCGTCGGCCTCGGCTCTAAAGCAGCCCAATCAGAGGTTCATCGACTCAGAGGCTTTCACCAATCGGTTCGCCAACCACCTCAGCGGCAGCATGGAAAAGGTCAATCGGCGGCTGATGCGAAGGTGGACAGGTGAGTGCCACTCGTCTCCATGTGGACGCGGCCGCCTTGGGCGTTGAGGCGGCAAGATGACTGACGTGACGCTGCGACGTGCCCTGCCGACGCACAGAGGCATCTGGAGACTACGCCGAGCTGGGCGCCATTCTCAACGGGTTCAGCCTCACAGAGTCAGGAAGCCTAGCCACAGCAATCGAGCGAACCGGCCAGGCAGCGGATTCAATCTACATCTCAACCGGACAGATGGTGAGCGGCCCTGCTGAAGCCTCGCCTCATTCGTCTGACCGCAAAGCGAGGGAGCCTGAAGGCGCTGACAATCTTGCTGCGCACGCTGGCTCTCTGCCATTGTCGCCGCCGCAGCTGCGTGACTGGGAGGAGAAGTTCACCGAGCCTCTGCACGAGTACACGCAGTTCGCCGCCATCCTGCAGAAGCTGCTCAAGTGGCGACATCTCAAGCACCTGCAGTACGAGCTGGCTCAAGACGCGCTCGAAGCCAAGAAGATGCAGATTGTGGAGCTCGAACGGGTCGAGGCAGAGGCCCGAAGACTCGACGAGGCTCTAGAGCGCGGCGGGGCCGGGCTCCTGACAAACGGCAGGGTGACGGGTAGCGGTGTCGACGCCAACGGTATCAGGGATAGCGTCGGATCCAGCTTCCGTCCGCGCACTTCCCTTTACGGCTCTGCTGCCGAGGAAGAAGGACCGTCATCGAACAAAACCGACGGCCCTGCAGCCACGCAGGTAGAAACTGATGGCGGTTCGAGGGAACGCACGACGCCAGCATCTGCGAGCGCAAGCAGGTCTGAAGCGGCAAGACCTACGTCGCCGCCGCTATCGCCGGGCAAGAGAGCCTCGAGCTCCTCGCGATCGTCCGGCTACGGTCTGCTCGGCGCAATCACGCACACCTTCCACAGCGTCATGGATGTCGATCGCGATGCCAGCCGAAGGAACAACATCGGCAAGCTCCGGGAGGATATCGCCATGGTGGGTTGTCAGCCGCTGCTCACTCGTCACACATCCTTGTGTGCCGTCCCCTGGCCTGACCACTCTCGTCTTTCCCCCGCGCGGTCTGCTCCACTCTGGCCACTTTCAGCTCGAGGAAGCGGTCTCCTTGACGGCCAATGATCTGCACTTTGCGACCACCGCGATCCAAACGGACCTGGACCGCTTCCAGCGACAAAAGGTGGCCGACTTCAAGCAGATGACACTCGAATTTGCCAAGATGCATCGTGAATACTGCCGACTGGTGCGTACGCAGACCGCGCGAGGCGGCTCTCGGCCATTTGGCGTCCAGACTTCTGACCCGTGCCAGTCGACCCCTTCACCGCGCCCGTTGATGCCACAGAACCTCGAGAACTGGAAAGAGGCAAAGGCGGAGATCGACAACATCGAGAAGCCCGAGGGCATGCCCGAGTCCAGCCTAGTGAGGAAACAGCGCGAGGATGGCGGCGGAGTCACGGTTCGGAACCGGTCTTAGCGCGCCGCAACGTCTCGGAGGGGGCCAGAGTTGTCATGCAGCTCAAGCTCTTGCAGCCATGTTATCATGATCTCGGACGACTTGTCCGGCTTGGATATCGAAGCTCGAGCGTAGCAGCGGTGGACACCGTGCAAGAAAACCAGCAGGTTCTCTTAAGCCATGGACAGAGGCCTTTGGCTACCCAGTTCACGCTTTCTTGATCATGGACACGATCTGCGACTCCAATCTGTGGCGTTTGGCTCCCGATGTGCAAAGTTTCGACGGTCGATCAGCCTCTGGCTGCAAAGATGCCCGAAGCTATATCGGCCCGGCGCAGCTCACTTCTCAATCCTTCGCTTGATGGCGCTAGGAGGATGCCAGACAAGCAGCGCGAAGTCGGGATCAACGCAGGCCCGCTCTAGCCGTCGGGTACGAGAGCAACTCACAGCGGAGTTCGATCGGTCCCCAGTTTCTCGCATATCGCCTGCACATTGCTCTGCGTCAGGGGAAGCTTGGAGTAGGCGAGAAGGAAGAGGTTCGCAACCTGAAGGATGGACCGAGACGCAAGAGAACAGGAGGGGTGGCCCTCGGAATCAGAGGCCTGCCGCCAGGTACCCGTCGCTTCGCGCACGTACCTCATCCGGCGTCCAGGGGATCTATTGGTCCGAAGAATCGTGGCAGGGAACGAAGAAGATCAGCAAAAGCACTGACTTGCATCGAGGTATCTCGTTGGACCTGCGTTCGAGGCCCAAGCTTACCGCTTTTTCGGCATTGGTGGGCGTGCCGTGCTCCCCTCCCGTCTCGACTTTGCGGGCGTTGGCTTTGACGTGGGTCTTGCGCACCATGGCGTCGCAGCAGGCTGGTCTGTATCCGCTTCGTAGGAGCGGTTACTTGAGTCGGCTCGAGAGCAGTGGTGTGGTTGCGGAGGGGAAGTCAGAACGTCGAGGGGTCAGGCATCTCAAATCGTCGGCGAGTTAATGCGTCAATTAGGGCAATCGCCAGCAGCGAGCGGCGAGGTGCGGAACGAGGCCGAGCTGTGCATCGCCGTGCGTCGGATTCGCTCCGCCCTCTTGCCTTTCGGTCTCAAGTTCCCGCCCTCCGCTTTTCCAAAAGGGCGGACGCGACCCCGCTGGTAGCGGTCTGGACCAACCCCGACTGCCTGTAGCGCGCACCGTTCGAATCGACCATCATCTTCCAATTAGCTCGAGCACATCCATTCTCCACGAAAAAGAGGTCATCTATCCAGCTCTCTACGATACTCTACCACGGCTCCATCGCCCAAGAAGTCGAGGATGGCCCCAGCAAAGAGCAGCTCGCAGGCCCAGCCCTGGACGGCAGAAGAGGTCAAGCTCCTGTTCAATATGGCCTATCCGCGCGCGAGCCCGAACCTCAAGCAGCTGGCCGAGCAGCTCGGTCGAAGCCAGGGGTGAGTAGAGAGTCCTCTCTCCGTCCAGGCTCGAGTTGTGTGCTCTTTGCTGACTGAGGTAAGGCCCCCGTCCGGATCACGACATTGATCGCCAGCTCCTGCAAGATGAAGCTTCATTCCATGCGCACGGCCGTCGAGGATCTGGTCGCAAGCTGGGGCACGACTGCCAAGGATGCCAGCTCGAGCGGCGCCGCTGTGTCGCAAAAGAAGAGGAAGATCCAGCCCGAGGAGGCCGTCAACGATGCGCGCAACGAACACCCTTGACTGAGCGAGGCGGACAGGCCCAAGGCGGAGAGTGCCGCGATCTGAACCGGGCTCGAGAGTCTCGTCCGGTTCACCCTTATGGCGCTTCGCTTGCTATCACGAGCTCACTCAAATGCTGCTGGACCAGTGTCAAGACCCGTGGGGTGGCTACAGAGGCCGAGCGGCACCTTCCTTGTTCTCGAAATGCCAGGTGTTCCAAACCGTTGAATGCGAAGGCCGGACCGTGTGCGAAAGTTCTAGATAACAGCGGGGCGAGCGTGCGGTACGGACAAGCGTAACGGAGCGGAGGCTCAAGGGGCGTCGGTGGTCAACAAAGCCGCCTTACGCAGGCTGACTTCCGCGCCTGGCTTTCCGCACCTGCTCGCCCGACGAGTGTGTGATCTGAGGGTCATCTCAGCTCGCGACCAATCGCAAGCAGATCCGCTTCATCACACCACACCCTGCCTTTCTCCCACCATCTCCTCCGAAGACAGCGGAGCACGGCCCGAACACCACCGCTCCTCAACGACATACTGACAACAGCAAAGCAACGATGGACGGCGCGCAGCCCTCCGGCAACCGACCCTGGACCAGGGAAGATGTGGTCCATCTCTTCCACATGGCCTATGAGCGCAAGACGGTCGATGCCAAGGAAGCAGCGGCCCAGCTGGATCGCACACCGAAGTAAGTCGAGCCGGCCTGCCGTGCGCGGCTGAAGGCTGATTTCTCTAACTCTACTCGACTCATTCCTGTCAGATCGTGCAACTTAAAGCTGGCTGCCCTCCACAAGGTCGTAGACGAGCTGATCGGCAGCTGGGCCAGAGGCAGCGTCGGCGCCAAACCAGGCGAGGATAAAGCGGTCAAAGCGAGCGCTCCAAGCAGGTCGAGGAAGAGGGTCAGGGCGATCAAGAACGACGAAGAGGCTGAGGCTGAGCCGCACCCTACGAAGGACAAGACGGCGCTCGAGTGAACTCTGAACCCTGTTGACGCCTCGACCGGCACTCTCGCTGGCCAGATTGAGCAGTCAAAGCAAGCTCCCCATTCGTGCAATCATTCACGAGCCCCCATCGGCGGGCTGTTCGAGACGCCGCTCCTCATTCATTCCCGGCTCATGTGTCGGCGCGACGGTCCGAGCTCTCCCTCTCTCTGGTGCGGAAGTGCGGAAGTTGGCGAATCGTTGTGCTGTCCTGCAGACCGAAGAAGCCAATGGAAGGCCGCCCGGCGTCAGCTGCCCAGCCGTTCCCGAGAATGGCGCGATTGCTCGCTTCTCGCTGTTCTCTATCCTCCCTCACCATCACTTCACCATCGAGCAGCATCTCAGCGCACCTCATCGCCAACTCTCCCATACAGACTATCCCCTGACACCTCGCTCCATACCGGCGCATTCCCGCAAAATGGCTACCTCTTCTTCACGCGGCGCTGGACGTTCCTGGACCAAAGAAGAGGTGATCAAGCTCTTCCACATGGTCTACGAGCGCAAACCGCTGTCCGCCAAGGCGGCGGCCGAGATGCTGGGAAGGACGGAAATGTGGGTGACAAGGGAGACCTAGCCCACGTTGCCGAGAAGGCCTGGACCGGCCTCCACTGACGGAACGGAATCGCGAGACTCTAGTTGGCCAACGAGCAGGTCGTGCACGTTGAAGGTCGTCAACCTGCACAAGGTCATCGAGGACCTGGTGGGCCAATGGGCCGAAAGCGGCAGCGCATCGACAAGCATCAAGGTCAAGCCGAAGAAGAGGAAGATCAAGAAGGACGAGTGAGCCGCCACAGGCGTCAAGCAGCAGCAGGAGACCAACGACCGGATCTGCTCACTGCCAGGTCTCGAGTAACATATCGAAGGGGGACTGGGAGGCGCGCCCCATTCTGCGTAGCGTCGCTCCACGTCGGCGACCGCCAGTCGGCCTCCTATCTCCAAGAACCGCGATGGGAAAAATGGCGGTAAAACGAAAAAGAACATTCGCAGTGATGACTAGAGTGGGGTTCGAACCCACGCATACCAGAGTCCCTAGAAAGAGAGCCGCTTAAGTGTACTCCGCGCGTCCGGGCGCGGTCGCCTAAATCTGGCGTGTTAACCACTTCACCATCCAGCCACAGATTGCAGAGAGCGGGAAAGTATGCGTATAGAAAAAAGCATTTGGCGCATGGATGGAGTGGCACGGGAGGCATATGCACACACGCACGCACGCGCGGCTGCCGTCGGACATTTCTCTTTCTGACTATCTGTACTACCGGGCAGGGAAGAAGATGTCTCTACAGGTCGAGCTCGCGCTTGAGCGTGTCGCACTGCTCGAGGACGGCGCGCCTCGAGGTGCCGCCCTTTGCGTTGCGCCGCCCGACGCTCTCCTCGAAGGACCAGACCTTCATGACGTCGTCTTCAAACTTGTCCGAGAGGCCCTGCAGGTCGGCGAGGGAGAGGTCCGACAGCTGGCACTTTTTCTCCTCCGATAGCCGGACCGCCGATCCAGAGATGTGGTGCGTCTCCCGGAAGGGGATCTGCAGTCGTATGGGGGGAGGGGCGCGGGGCGTCGGAGGTTTTTGGGGCGGGGCAAAGAGTGCAAGGAAATTAGGCGGTGAGCTGGGTCGGGTCCGTGGTACGTCGACGGTGGCCAACAACATCGCCCTCTTTTTCGAGCTGGGTCCTGTTACTCACGCCCTTTCGCACCAGGTACTCGGCCAGGTCGGTGGCCAGCATGTCGGTCGTCAGCGCCGCCTTCATCTTCTCCGGGAAGATCTGTCGGACGTTCATAGGCGAGGCGGGAGAGGGCAAGGTCGTGGGACACGGGTCGGGAATCAGTTGCTGCGTCCCCGCGCCGGGATTGCGAGTTCGCGCCTCCCTCGAGACTCACGCTCAACGTGCTAATGACGCCCGTGGCAATCTGCAGGCTGTTGCGGATGGTGTCGACGGCGTCAAACATCGGCTCCTTGTCCTCCTGCAGATCCTTGTTGTACGTCGAGGGGATACCCTTGAGCGACATCATGAAACCCGACATCTGGAGGACAGAAAGCCGCCGAAAGGTGGATGTGGGGCCGCAGCGCAGGTGCCAGGGTCAGCTTCGAGGCACGATGCGGATCGGTCGCTACTCGCCCGGCAGCACCGACGCACCTGGCCAAAGATCCTGCCGGACTTGCCGCGCAGCAGCTCCAAGCTATCCGGGTTCTTCTTCTGCGGCATGATCGAGGAGCCGGTCGTGTATGCATCGCTGAGCTGGATGAAGCCAAACTCGGCGGACGAGTAGATGATGAAGTCCTCGGCGATCTTGCTGAGGTGGATGGCGGTCAAGCTGGCCCACATTAGGAATTCAACGACAAAGTCGCGGTCCGAGACGCTGTTCATACTGTTGGTGCCGACGGTCTGGAAGCCGAGGTCCTTGGCGATGGCGTCCCTGTCCATGCCCTCGAACGGGTTGCCGGCGAGCGGGCCGGATCCGAGGGGCAAGACCGAGATACGAGGGATGAAGCTGCGGAGGCGGGCCAGATCGGCGGCAAAGTAGGTGGCGTGGGAGAGGAGGAGGTGGGACCAGCGGATGGGCTGCGCGCGCTGGAGGTGGGTGTAGCCGGGCATGAGGGCGTCGACCTCTTCGCGGGCCCGGGCGACCATGACCTGGACGAGCTCCTTGAGGAAGATCTCGATGGCGAGCGCCTCGTCCATGAGCCAGAGGCGCATGTCGGTGGCGACCTGGTCGTTCCTGGAGCGGCCCGTGTGGAGCTTTCCGGCGACGGGGCCGATGAGCTCTTTGAGCCGCCTCTCGTTTGCGGTGTGGATGTCCTCGTCGTCGGGCTGGATCTTGAAGGTGCCGTCCTTCCACTCCTGCCCGACCTTGTCGAGGCCAGCCACGATCTCGTCTTTCTCACTTTCGGTGAGAATGTTGCACTTGACGAGCGCGCGAGCGTAGGCCTGGGAGCCGCGGATGTCTTGCGCGTGCATGCGCTTGTCGTAGGAGAGCGACTCGTTGTACTCGAACAGGAGGGGGTCGGTGGTGCCGGTGAAGCGACCGCCCCACAGCTTGCGCTTCGTGAAGTCCTGCTCCGCAGACATTTTGTGGATGGGGGTTGTTGCAAGGGGAGGGGAAATGCTAAGCAGAGATTGACGAGAGTAACGGAGTGGCGGTGACAGTTGCGCCGGTGCTGATGTTGGTGGTGATGTCAGTACAGTAGTGGTGGTCGACGAGGCCGCACGAAGGCTCGAGCCGCCTTTCGCTCCAGGCAAAAAGTGGGAAAGGGCCACGGCATGCGGGGGCCTCTGACTCGGAGCAGCACCAGCAGCGAACCGTGCGCAGCTCTGCATGCAGGTGATGTGCCAAGCGGCCCCGCGCTCCTCTTTTTTTTTGCTTTTTCTTCTTCGCGGCCGGTCAGCGGCGCGCATCCACCCAGCCCGGATGCGGGTGACTCCGGCATTCAAGTGCCCAGATTCGTAGCTCAGCTACATACCCACGGTCAGCGACGAGTGGGCGGGTCAAGGGGTGGCGACCCATCGACAAACTCGCATTCCACCGCATTACCTGTACTGCAATATGATACGCCACAAAGGCAGGCAGCCCGGGGGAAGCAAAACAAAGCTCGACCGCCGAGCACGCTCAAGCACCCGACTGGCCCACCCAGCAGTCGCGCCGCTGAGGCGCTCGCTACTCGGGGCAACAGCCGCGTGGCCCATGGGCCAGAACAGGGCAGAGCACAGACTTGGGCCGCACGCAAAAGCCGGCAGTGGTCTCGACTGACATGGGGTTTCAATTACAACTGACGCCAGTAGTGGTGGCGGAGGGCTTGCTCGGTTGGGTCGACAGCGGATGGGGTGTGGACAACGATGCATGGAGAGGTCGGCCTCATCGGCCAAAATCGGTGATGCTGGTGGGTGAGGGCCGCCCGCCGTCGGGGCAGATAACGTCGTGGGAGGGGTCCAAGCAGCAGGGGGCGAGAGCGAGAGCATCGGCGTTCAGGAGAGGTGGAAGCTGGTGGAGCCCTCCTTCATGGCCACCTCGAGCCGTCGGCGCATCGTCTCCCTCGACGAGTAGAGCGGCATCTTGAGGTAGTTGACGCACGTCATGACGCTCGGCAGGTAGTCGTCGGCCGTCAACGGAGGCTCGTGCGGGCGCTTGACGACAGTCAGCTGCGGGTGCAGGCCGGCAAAGCCGCCAATCGGCAGCTTGGGCGACCCGGTGAGCCACTGCAGGAAGTTGCGGCGCTCGCTGACGCTGAAGCTGGCCATGATGGCCACGACGTCCTTGAACGACGCGCTCTCGGCATTGAGGCCGTGGTCCGGCTTGATGCTGCTCATCAGCGTCGCCTCGCTCCAGTCCTCGTCGGTGTTGCCAAAGAGCATCGCCAGCTCCTCGGCGGTGAAGCTCGACATGGCTGCGATCGGGAAGATGAGGTTGAAGCCCTGGCGGAAAGCGCGCACGGCAGGCTTGATGCCCGAACCGAGGCTGGCCTCGAGCACCTCGGCGACGTAGCGATCGAGGTTCGAGGCATCCACGCTCTCGTCGCGACCGCCGGCATGCAGCTCCATGTCCGGGTGGCCAGGGACGGTGAAGTCGAGAGCGAGGCCTGCGACGTCCTCGGCCGACATCCCCTGCATCGACCTCAGCGAGCGCGCCAGCGCCGGGTCGACGGCGCTCATCGTGTTGAGGCTGGCCGCCATGGGCTGGTTGAGCACGGCGCGGAGGAAGACGGGCGAAAAGTTGCAGTCGATGATCCTCGAGTCAAGCAGCGCCTTGGCCACAAACTGGCCCAGGATCTTGAACGAGTGGATCCGCTTGCGGCTCTCCGCCGACTCGAGCTGAGCCGCGTCAAAGGGGGCCGGGAAGAGGCCCTTTGCGCTGCGCACAAACTCGGTGTGGGTGCCCGTGGCATCGTCGTCGCGCCAGAGCCTGAGGTCCTTGCGCGCAAACTCCTTGGACACGAGCGAGTAGAACTCCAGCGTGGGCCCAAGGCCGGTGCCGACCTCTTCGAAGTACTCGACCTCGAGGACAGACGAGGTGGATCCATAGAGCTCGAGCACCTTGAAGGCCGACGGCAGCAGGCTGCTGCGCGAGATGCGCACCTTCTGACGCTGCAGGCGGGCCAGGAAGCCGAACGAGTCGTCCATCCGCAGCGACGACGACGTGCTGTCCTGACTGCGCGAGTGCAGGTTCTGCCAGCGAGTGATGAGCCTGGCGTAGCCGAACGCGGTCGACTGCAGGAACGAGAAGCGGGCCTCGAAGGGGAACAGGAAGGGGAACACCTTGGGCAGCTGCGTCGACCAGTCGGGCAAGCAGGACGACGCAACAATCATCGGCTCCTCGAGCTGCCGGTTGAGCTTGGCGGTGAGCTTGTTGTTGACGAACGCGGATTCCGGCAGCGCCGACGCGGAGCCGGTCGGGGTGATCTCGGTCTCGACGCCGAGGTCGTGGGCCTCTCGCCAGTCGCCATTCAGATCGTGCAGCACGGCCAACAGCTGCAGCAGCTTGGCGTACGGTGCGTCGGGCTTGACCGACGGTGGCAGCTCGATGGCCACAGAGCCTGCACCGCTCGGCTCCGGCGTGCCCTCGTCCTCTGCGGGTGACGTCGTCGGTCGAGGCAGTGACGGGCCAGCGCACAGATGGAGCACAGAACAAGTAGACGGAGAGGGGAAAGGAAGGTCGTGGAGTTCGGGAAAGCGTCAGCAGCTCTGACCCGGCAACCTGCGACCAGCGACGCTACCATCCAGGACTCACGAGCTTTCGGGGCCGGTCCTGCAACCTTCTTGTAGCGGACCGTGTAGACGTTGCCCCAGATGTACTTGCTGTTTGCAGCGCCGGCGCCGGGTCCGCTGCGCGCTGGGCTAGTCTCGAAGTGATGGATGGCGCCGTAGATGGTCGTATCGAGCGACAAGGGCTGCGAGTCGAGCGAAAACTCGAGGTGCCAGTCCGACGGTTTCTTCTGCAGCGCAGATGCGTACGAGGCCTTTGACGGGCTTCCGCTGCCGCTGGCCGCCGTACTGGGCCCGGGAGTCGTCGAGCCGTCCCTGGGACTGGGCACCTTGGTGCCGTCCGGAGTCTTGGCCACGACCTGACCGGCTTCCTTGTCGACGTCGAGGTTGATGGTCTTGTCAGCGGCCTCGCCACCGTCATCGAGCAGTCCCGAAGCCCCGTCGGCGGCGATCTCGTTTTGCAGGATTTCGTCGTCGAAGTCTTCGTCGGAGAGGCCATCCTCATCCTCGAAGCCGTCGTGCAGAAGGCCGTCCATCAGGCGCCTGGCCAGCGCCTCGTCGCTTTCGCCCTCGGCCGCCTCGCCAAACAGCCGTTCCGCCATGGCCCGGGCATCGTCGCTGGCGCCACGAGTCTCGCCCGTCGCACTGTCCCTACTGCCTTGGCCCGTTGCGCCTGTCGCGGAGCCTCCGACAGAGTCAGAGCCTGCGGCGGTCTTCTCCTTCTTGGTGTTGGCAACCGTCGACGTGGATGAGCCCGGCTCGCGGTCCTGCTTGGCGGAGGGGTCGGCTGCTTCAGCATCCTTGTTGAGGCGCGAGCTGCGCCGCGGCGAGGCCTTCTTGCTTGGCGAGTCGCTGGCATCCTGTTTGCTCTGGGACCCTTCGCCCTCCGCGGCTTCTTGATCGCGGCTCGCTGCGGACTGGGCCGTGCGCGCGGTCGACGTCAACGCGGTGCGGTCCGAGAGGTCCGGGAAGGCGCCGGAGCCCGTGGCGGCCGCGAATGCCGCGAGCACGCTCGAGAGCCGAGAAGTGGCGCTGGGTCCGGTGGCGCCAGCTCCACCGCTGGCCGTCGAGGCGGACGCCGAAGCAATCTTGGGTCGCAGGTAGTCGTTGAGGGACTGGAACGTGGCGACCGCGTGGATCGTCACTACAATGTTGCTGCAGGTCCGAGGGATCTCGTTGGCCGGGTCCTCGGCGACCAGCCTGAGCCTCAGCTGCCGACCGAGCATCGACGTCGCGCTGCGGCGGGAGTCGTCGCTGCTGCCGCTCAGCGCCGTGGTGATGTCGACGTTCTCGAGCCGGCTGAGCGAGTCCTGGAGACGTCGGACCAAGACGCTGGCGGCAGTCGTGCCTGCCGAGTCGACCCGCATCAGCGATTTGACCAGCATGCTCCGGCGTTGGTCGAGAGAGAGGCCGTCTGCAGAAGGCTTGGTGGCGAAAGCGTACAGGCCCTCGACGAGCCCGGAGCGCAGCAACTCGAAGCTGGAGATGGGCTCGTCGGGCTTCAGGAAGAGCGCAGTGATTTCGTCGATCGTAGTCTGGGCCACCGTTTCGTCCTTGTCCCCCTCGACATCGAGGCGACGCACCAGCAGCTGGATGCGGTCCAGCGCCTGTACAGCCTGCTTGGCGCCATCGGAGCTGGCGGCGTCCCTGCTGAACTTGTGGCTGAGCATTCGCGCCCTCCAAATGTTGGCGTCGGCTGAGTCCGCGAGACTCTGGGCTTGGCTCTGACCGCGAGAAGCTGTACCCGAGGCAGGGCCGAGGCTAGCGCTGCCACCCCCGATCAGGCGGGCAAGGCCAGCCGAGGCGAGGGCCTCCTCCACGGCCGCAGCCCCGCCATTCCTGACGGACGCACCAGAGGCGCCGCTGGGTAGAGAGAGGCTGGTGGGGGTCGCCTTCGCCGGCTCAGACTTAGCTGCAGCGTCCTTGCCAGGCGCCTCGGCGGTCTTTCTCGAAGATCGTCGCTGAGTCGGCTCCTGGGCAGCGATGCTCTCGATCTCCCACATCACGCCCTCGCGGCGGAGAAGGGCGGTGTAGATGTGGGGCAGTTTGATGGTGAGCAGCTCGACGATCTGCAGGGCACCGTGCACGAGCTGGGGATGGTCGCGGGTAGACAGGATGGCGGCTACGAAGCCAGCGAGGGGTACGTTGTCGAGGGCGCGGCCGAGAGGCTCGGGCTCGACAAAGCTGAGAATCTTGAGAATCCCGTTGATGGCCTTGGAGCGGACGTGCTGCGCGACACTGGCCGCATAGACCTCGACCAGCGTGGGGAGGATGAGGTGAGTGAAGCGCTCCACGGCGACCTCGCGGCCCTGCAGCAGCCTGACCCGCGCGGCCTGGGCAGCTTCCTTGGCAGCCTCGCGGTCGGATCGCGGCTTGTCCGCCTTGGCGGACGGCGACGATCCAGCACTGTTGGAAGGCGAGACCTCGCTGCGCTCCGACGGCTCGTCGGCCGCCGAAGCCGAAGCCGAGGCCGAGGAATCGCCATCCGCCGTCACACCCTCAGCCTTGGAGCCGGCAGCGTCGACCTCCTTGGCCGAACTCGAGGCAGTTTCCTTCTTGCGATTCTTGGCCTCCTGTGCCTTGCGCCTAAGGTAGGCCTTTTCAGAGTACGCTCGCGTGTCGAAGACGCCATCCCTGGGAAGCGGCGGCAGCAGCTCGCCGATGAGGGAGAGGGCCTCCTGGACCTGCTCCTTGGGTCGCTGGGCGAGGTTCTGGAGCACCGCCATGTCGGCGACGGCAACGGTGCCCTGGTCGTCGGGTACCACGGCGACGGCAGCCGCCTCTGCGCCGCCCGCGGTTGCGTTAGCGGACTCGAGGTCCATAGCTCGGACCGCGCTCGCCGCTCCCGTGACTTTTTCGTCGGTGCCGTCGCTGGGCGGGGCTGATCCCGTGAGCAGGTGGTAGAGGACATCGACAATGTTGTTCTCCAGGAGGGCCACGGCCACCTTGGGGCTGGCGCGGCAGGCGGTGCCCAGCGCCTTGAGGACGTCGGTGTACGTGTTGGATCCGAGCGAGGTGTTGGAGCCGCCTTGGCCGCCGGCCGATGCCGGGAGCAGCAGGCCGTTGATCGCAGAGAGTAGCTCCGAGGTCAGCAGCTGCTCCAGCAGATCCGGCTGATGCCGATAACTCTCCACGGTCCGCACGACACATTTGCACGCCGACTCGACGAGGCGCTGGTCGCTGTAACCGAGCACGTTCTGGATCGTGGGCATGACTTCCTTGACCTTGGGAAATGCCTCGGCCGAGAGCTTGCGGCAGCAGTTGGCGGCCGCCGTCATGGCGGTTCTCTGGATGTGGATGTTGAAGAAGTCGAGGTACTGCAGGATTGCCGTGAGGCCACCCTCCTTGACAATGGCGCTCGGGAACTCCTGCGACACCTTCTCGAGCGTCTGCAGCACCTGCTCGGCGAGGTCGATGAAAGTGATCTCCATCAGCTTCGAGGTGAGCACCGGGATGGCGCCGTTGCTGACGACGCTGTGGGCCGTGTAGGGCATGGCCTCGATCAGATTGGCCAGGCAGCGGCACGCCAGCAGCATCTTTTCGCCGTTGTCCTCCTCAAAGTCGGCGGCGGCGGCGGCGGCAATGGCTGCCGCCATCTCTGCATCGCCGTCGGCTTCGTGGAGCTGTCCTCCGGAATCGCCCGTGACGCGCGCATCGCCGGGCTTGGGTCCGCCCATGATGTGGACCAGCTCCTTGACAAAGGCCTCGGTCGGAAAGTAGCCGGCCAAAGTGTCCTCCGTGCTGACGCTGAGCAGCTCGGACAGCTCCTGGAGCGACACGAGCTGCGTCGTCGGGTCCGATGCATCCTTGAGAGACGCGAGCAGGGTACGGAAACGTCCGGTGAGACCCGACATGTAGCCGGCCATCGCCCGCAGGTTGAGGCCAAAGGCGGCGGATCCACCATCGTCCCTCACGTCTCCGTACGGGTCGTCCTCGTCGTCGTCGCCCTCGTCGTCGTCCTCGTCTTCGAAGCGCTCTGCGGCCTCGTCGTCTTCGTCCTCGATGGTGGCAAAGTCGTCGTCGTGGCCTCCATCGTCTTCCTCGTCGGCGGCGACGTCGTCACGCTGCTGATCGCCCTTGCTCCGGCGATCCGATCCCTCCCGACCCTCGCAATCGGCGGATGTCTGGTTACGCGCCGGCGAAGTCGAGTCCTGGACGTCGACCATCTCGACATCGTCGTCTTCACCATCGTCGTGGAAACCTTGATCCGCCGCGTCGATTGCGTCTCCGTCGCAGATGCGATCAAGGTCGTCGTCTGCGCATTCGACGTCGTCCGGGTCTCGGAAAGCTTTGGCCCTGGTTGGGCGACCGCCCTTCGCCTTGCCCTTGCCCTTGGCTGCCGGGGTGACCGAGCCTGGCTGCGAACCGGCTCCCCCGCTGCCGCGGGTCAGGCTGAAATCACCGCTGCCCTTCCTCGGCGCCATCTTCGAGGTCTTGACTCTGGAGCTGCTGGCGCTGCTGTCCTTTGAGCGCAGGTTGTAGGGGCCGCCGTCCTGAGAGGACTGCTTCTGTCGCTTCGAGGCGCTCTGGCGGTCGGTTGCCTGCGGTGCGATTGTCTCGGCGCTGCGCTTCTTCGAGGTGCTGGCCTTCGAGCCCGAAGCGACCGTGGCGGTTGTGGCGGCGGCCGATCTCGTACTGCCGAAGATGGAAATGCAGAGGTGGTGCGAGGACTGTTAGCATCTCGCTCGCTCAGGTGACCGAAACGACTGCGACCGAGCGGCCAGGGTCGAACGCGCGTGCAAGCCGCCTGACTCACCTCCTCGTGGCGGGCGAGCCGGTCTGCTTGGGCGGAGTGCTGGGCTCTTTCGCCTTGCCTTTACCCTTGGCCTTGTTCGTGGGGCCCGGCAGGGACGCGGAGAAGGCTCCGGAGGCGTCGCCGGCGGATGTAGGGGCAGACTTGTCGGTCACGTCTGCGCGATGCGCCTTCTTGCCTGCCGATCGAGCCGATGAGGAATGCGTGGTCGAGGCGATGGAGAGGTTGGTGGCCGGCGTGGCTGGTGCCGACAAGGGGGAGAGGCTGCGTGAGTAGGAGCCGTCTGCGTGGGAGCCTTGGCTGCTATGCTCCGAGACAGGCGAGTCGACCGCGCGGATCCGCGAAGACGTTGCAGGAGTTGGGGCGGGCAGCGCTGCGGTGGATGCAGTCTTGCGCTTCGAGGGGGCGGCGCCTCTGCTGCTGTCGGGAGAGCGGGTCGTGTCGGAGGGCTTGAGGGGCGATGACGCCTGTTGCGGTTGCGTCAAACGAGTGTCGGAAGATTTTCGGGCTCTGAGGCTGCGCGCGGGTTGGGGCTTGGACTTTTCGCCGTCGACCTTCATGGGAAGTCTTTGCGGGAGTGTTGCACGGGACCCTTTGTCGCGGCTGGAGAGGGTCGGATCGAGGAGAATGGTACTCCCCACGCAGATAAAGGTTGCGCGAGTCGGGTGAGGCGGCGGGTGGGATCGCCCAGACTACCTGCGGAGAATCGAATCAGACTCGGCACCGCGCTGCGCTCGCCCGAAACCGCCGTCGCCTGTGCTGCTGCGGCTGCGGTGGCCTGTCTAGAGTCAGCGGGGGCGGGGACGCTTCTTGCAAGCAAATCCTCGATGCTGCGTCGACTGGGGGAGTGAGTCTTAGCGCTGCGGCTGCATTTGGCGGGCCTGTGCACATCCGACGAAGGTGCACAGCGTTCGAGGCGGCGTTCAGGTCAGCTAACTGGCCATTTGGCTCGAGCAGGTCACCTCGGATTCGGCGCATGCGCTTGAGACGGCAACTCACCTGGTGGCTGTGGCGGTTCAATGCCTTGGGGCTCGGCTGCTGGCGTTCGGCCAGATCGAGCCTGGTAGGAGCCTATAAGGAGCCTAGAAGGAGCCTCGAAAGGTCGACTGCGGCTTGCCTGCCACGCGGTCCCGAGGAGCGGCGGCTGGGCGAAGGGTGACGTCGTGTCAAGCGCCCGGTCCTTTGGAGCGTGGGCCTGGAGGCTCGTTAAGGACGCTGCTACCGAGCGTATGCTGCGGTGGCAAGGTCGACGAGCGACGATGTGGCGGGGATCAAAGTATCTACCGCTGGGTGTGGAGCGATAGGCGTCTGCGGAGGTGGTGGCGCGGCGGCGGTGTGCCTGGGGGTGTGAATGCTCGAGCGAGGCGGTGTGTGGGTTTGCGAGTGAGTGATGGTGGTCGTGGTCAGAAGCAGGGTGGCGGTGAGCGGCGCTGACAGCTGATGGTGGTGGTGGTGGTGGTGTGAGAGCAAGGTAACGCAACCGGCCCTCGCCCCGTCAGGTTTGACCTCTGGCTGCCCACTCGTTGCCCCTGCCAGGGGAGGAGGTGCTGGGCCAGGGCCCCCTCGCTCGCTGCTGCTGGCCGACTGCGCCGATTGCCAAGCGCAGGTGCCGCCCTGCCCTCGGCTCATCCG